AGGGGCGTTACGGACGGTGACCCCATTCACGCCCCATGCACAGACGAGACATGAGCGTCCTGCAGACCCCTCTCTCCCTGTGCGAGGATACAAAGCGCCTCGTGATGGTGGATTTACAGTCGACGGAAACGCCGTTCTAGGAGAAAACCGATTCAAGTGGCCGTGACCTCGAAAAGGCAGCAGAGAACGGCCGCACACCCGGTTACGCAACAGCTTGCAAAGACACACAGCCCTTTATTATTGTTGATACTTTCAAACTTGTTTGCTCAGGGAAGCCTCACCGAGTCTCGCGAATCTTTTTTTCAGGAGGGTCCTGCTCGGCGTTGACAGTAATGGGCTGATCGTTGCTACGTTATCATCTCAGAGTGGCATCATTTGCGGTGCAACGCGTCTCGGTTTCGGGCGGAATTTGGACCGCGACGCCGGGACACAACGGGCCCGGCTCTTCTGCCGCGGGATCTTCGACGGCCACTGTGAAGGCCACGGGGCGCGTGGGCCTACGATGAACGCACGACGCGCAGTGATAACCAGGGCGGCCGCTGGATTCGATCCGCGGTGCCTCTGCATAAACAAGCGGCACAACGCGCCACCATACCGGGGCATCGTCAACGCCCCCCCAGACACGGAACGCGGAGTTCCACCCGAGCACACAGCACCTGCACCGACACCGCTTGTTCACAGCTGACTAAAACGAAACTTTTTTTTTTAGTTTACCAGGTAAGGTCCATCGAGCTGTGTAACTCTTTTTCAGCAGCGACCTGGCTACCAATGATAGCCCCATGAAGTGGCTTTTCAGGTGTCAAATTATAGCAGCCAAATACTCTAAACGCGTGATGTTATTGCTAAATGTGGAGGGGAAAACCGGAGGACCCGGAGAAAAGTCTACGCGACCACGGCAACAGAAACACGCAAACTCTACATATACAGCAGCAGTCCTCAGGGTCGGGATCGAACCCACGACTTCCCGTATACCTAGCGAGGTAGTTAACATTTCCTAGCCACCGTGATGATGAGAGAGAGACACGCAAACTCCACATACACAGCAGGCGTCAGGGTCGGGATCGAGCCCACGACCTCCTGTATACCTAGCGAGGTAGTTAACATCTCCTAGCCACCGTGATCATGATGATGAGAGAGAGAGACACGCAAACTCCACATATACAGCAGGCGTCAGGGTCGGGATCGAGCCCACGACCTCCTGTATACCTAGCGAGGCAGTTAACATCTCCTAGCCACGGCGGCGTCCAGAGTTGGGGCACACGTTTGCAAGAGAGGCCGGCACAACCGTGCCAGTCTGCACGGTGAATATGCCGATGGACCACTGCAGCACTCATGCCAAATGAACGGTGAATGGGGGGGGGGGAGGCACAGTTGTTTGTGTGTCTTTGTAACCACGAGTTGGTGTGCGGCATCCCATAACCCACCGCTACCTCGCGGTGAACGGGACAGAGCCAAAAACGAATTGCAGAGAAACGAATGCCCATAGGCTAACATGGAAACACGGAATGCCCCATATACTGTAATGGGGGAAATGCAATGCATAAATGGTTTACATGGGGGGAACGGAATGCCCAAAATAACAAGAGCCATGTTTTTTTTCTCCCAAATTCGGTATTTAAAAAAAAAAAACCCTTTCTAGAGCCGCCACGCGAGTTTTGAATCCGTGACGTCACCGATCAGTCCGTCAAGAGCCGCCGCAGGCTGCCAGAGTTACCCCCTGCGTCATCGGCGGCAACTTGGGATGGCGTCAAGGTCCACGGGACTCACGTGGGGACAATGAATGAGCGGCTCATTCCTTTGAGCCGAGTAACCGATTAGCAGGTGCTACATTTGATGTAAACATTTAAACAAGGAATGACGGAGACGTTTGTGAAACGTCAGGCCTGGAATACCAAAGCACCAGTAAATGCACACAATCAATAACACAGACTATAGCTTTATAGTTTAACACGTAGGCTTTCGCGACCAGTATTACTCATAATAAAGGTTAACGGGACGTATTATTTTTTTTACTGATTGGCCGTGTCGGGTGGTGGAGGGGTTGCGACACATTCATAATTAACGCGATCTCACCCCCCAAAACCGTTATTATGTACAGCTCTATGACCTTCATAAATGATCTTTGAAGCACCTTGGACCACGTGAGTCTGTCGCTGTATGGCAGTCTTTCTCCGTGCTGCCGTCAGAGGGACTCCCGGGCTGAACCCAAGCCCCCTGCATCTATCTCGGACGCCTGTTTGGGGTTGTGGGATCGGTAGCGTAGCAGCGGTGAGCGTTACAAACCCGGCCACCCCAGTTCGAGTCTCGCTCACGGCCACCAATACCAGTGACGATTATCTGAAACGGGATCCTGGGCCTCCCCGAGGTCGACTCGGCCTCTATTTGAGGCCGTCCATAAATGACGTCACGCGATTTTGCACGATTTTTGACCCCCCCCACCCACCTCGTCACACGGCGTCACAAAGTCAGACCCCCCCCCCTCAAATATGACGTCACAAAGCTCTGCCCCCCCCCCAAACCATATTTCCATTTTGAAAATAATACATGCTTCAAATCGCTTTAAACTGTTGTCATTGTAGTGCGTATTTAATGTGGCGCTACACTGATGTTGTAGGAGTGTTGTTATTATTGTTATAACAATTCTATATTTATTTAAAGTTGCGCACTTTGATGTGACGTCATATTTCTCAAACCCCCCCTCGTTACACATCGTCACAAATGTCTGACCCCCCCCCAACCTAGGTGCGTGACGTCATTTATGGACGGCCCCTGATGTGTACTTAGTGCGGTGTGTAGTAAACATCGCCACGAGGGAGACAAAGGCGGCCGGGCGTGGTGCTGGCCACCCACCCCCTCGTGTGCCGTGCCGGCCTTCACAGGTGCTCGCTAACAGCACTTGCCCCTACAGTCTGTTAAGGCTGTCCTGTGTAGGGGCGGGGTCTTTGTCTTTGCAGTATAAATGCGAGCAGCATCGTTCCCGCCGATGCAGGCTTGCCTGGCAAGGGAGCGAGTGGAGACGCTGTGGGTAGGGCCCTCTAGTGGTCCCATGACGTACAGCTGTGGGTAGGGCCCTCTCGTGGTCACATGACGTACAGCTGTGGGTAGGGCCCTCTCGCGGTCACATGACGTACAGCTGTGGGTAGGGCCCTCTCGTGGTCACATGACGTACAGCTGTGGGTAGGGCCCTCTCGTGGTCACATGACGTACAGCACCCTGGAGCACTCATTCTTGAGCATGGGGGGGGGGGGGGCGGCCATAAATGACGTCACGCGATTTTGGACGATTTTTGACCCCCCCTCAAATATGACGTCACAAAGCTCTGCCCCCCCCCCAAAAAAATAAAACATGCTTCAAATCGCTTTAAACTATTGTCATTGTAGTGCGTATTTAATGTGGCGCTGCACTCTGATGTTGTAGGAGAAAACATGTATTAAAAAGTCTATTTAATTAAGTGGAACGTGTTGTCTATATTTAAAGTTGCGCTTTTTGATGTGACGTCACATTTTTCACCCCACCCCCCTCTTGTCACACGTCACAAATGCCTGACCCCCCCCCCGGTGCGTGACGTCATTTATGGACGGCCCTATGGTGGCAATGCGGTTCAGGAGCTCGATGCCAATGTCGAGGTTCTGCTGCTGGCCACGGCGAGAGGGCTTCAGGTGGTGAGATGTTAACCCTCTCGCCTGGTGTACAGGAGGTCGTGGGTTCGATCCAAACCCTGACGCCTGCTGCTGTATATGTGGAGTTTGCGTGTCTCTCCCTCTCTCATCATCATCATCACGGTGGCTAGGAGATGTTAACTACCTCGCCTGGTCTACAGGAGGTCGTGGGTTCGATCCCGACCCTGACGCCTGCTGCTGCTGTATATTTGGAGCCTGCGTCTCTCTCTGTGGTGTTTCGTACATCCATGCAGTGTGAGAATGAACGCGGGGTGAGTGGGTGGAAGATGTTGGCTCAGTGAAAGGAAATGAAGACCCACATTGCCAGCAACACTTTGAATGTGCATGAACGAAAGGATTACACGCATCGCAATGGTGCCTGATTTTTCTCCCGAGTCCGTCGATTTTTTCCCCTCCCCATTTAGAAAGGACGACGTTCGTTCAGAGGAATTGGCTGCTCTACATTTCCGCGTGTTCAGCCATCATTTGTGGCCAAGTTCCTTATGTAAAATAGGTCGGTGAGCCTTACCTGGTAAAATAAAACATAGTTTAGTTTAAATCAAGGCCGTAATTATAATATATATTGGACAAACACACCCCCCCCCAATATTCAAATATGCTCAAAATGTCCCCCCCCCCCAATATATTGCTATAAACAATATATTTTTTAAAATAATAATTGCTATGCTATGGAAATAAAAAACAACAATTTGATAAACCTTGGCCACAATATCTGGGCTTGTCTTCATTTAACAATGCATAGATTTCTGTTTATATGATTGTGGTTATGGTTGTACTTTATTAATCCCTAATCTCTGCCATTACATACAATGAAACAAGAAAAGGTAAAAACAAAGAAAAAACAAAGAGTAATGTAATAGAATACACTATTAGACATTATTGTTTAAAAATAAATACATAAAAAAGTCCATCCCATGTGTTAGTGAATTTTTTTATATTTTAGGCACGAAATTAGTTTTCAAATTTAGATTTTTTTTATTTTTTAATGGGGGTGGACCCCCAGACCCCCTGGAAGATTTGGTCCCCTCCAATGTTGACTCCATGGCTACGGCCTTGGTTTAAATAGTTAACTGGCCAAAACAACAAATCTATATAGGACTGCAGGGCTTGGGCAATTTCTGCTAATGCCTGCTCGCTGGCTGCTGCTGCTGCTGCTGCTTTCCCCGCTTGTCCGGAGTTCCTCCTTGCCCACCCAGCCGTTCTCTCTCTCGACACTTGCGCCACACAGAAATAGGGACCTGGGTTCTATCCCTGACTCGGGCATTATTACAAACGTACGTGCATGCACGCAGAAAAAAAAACACCAACGCATTCACGATACCCGCATCAAAAAGTACATTTTACTTAATGGGTTTAAAAGCAGCTTTGGTACGAAACAATACTCCGTAAAATTGTAATAATAAAATGTAAAAATATAGATATAATCCTTACAATGAATTAAAACTGGGCTATATTTCACTGGAATATATGGTTTGTTTAAAAAAAATTACAATCGGCCTTCTTTCACGTAGGCTATACAAACCAGGCTGACTCCACTCGCCAGTTAACTCCCGACGAATAAAAAACACAGGGCTCGACCGGAGCTGTCACGGAGCCTTTTAAGTTCCATTTTTACCGGGAGCTATGAAGCAGCCGCCTCGAAAACTGTCATTATTGCTTTCAAATGTTGAAGTTTAGTTTACTTTTGACAGTTTCAAGGGATCTTATTGTCGTTGTATTTGTCCCCTCGATAACCAGGGAGAGTCACAACGCAAGTTCAAAGCAAAGAGGTTCGCTACTCGAATCCGACGGGCCGCCCCGATTAACACTGCTGGTCTATTCGCCTACAAAAGTTTTACATTCTCCGCCTGCTTCACGGCGGACGTTAAAACACCCCCCTTGGCGGCATTCCAAACGAGCAGGCGATCGCATGGCCGGCGTCAGGGCCTCTAAATTCGCCAAATTTGAACAAACAAAAATGATCACCGCCAACAAACAATAACAAATCGCTCAAATGGGAACCCCTATCAGCAACATCGCCCCCCACCGGCACTGCAAAACTACTGCCGACTGTCTGTGAAAGGGGGCGCTCTCGCGATGGGCCGGCATAAATAACAAACGTACTTCATGTAAAGAATAGGTTTCACCCTTTCTGCCAATAAAAAAAGTTGTGTTAAGATGGTAAAACACCAAACAGATACCTTTTGCGACGAATCGCGTCTGCATTAACCACGTAAACTTGCGGTGAACATGCAAACAAAATAAACATGCTCTGGTAGTATATGATGATGCATTGCATCTGAAACCGCTTGATCCACACCAGAGGCGGCTTTCTTCAGAGCCCCGTCTCAAAGTGTTAAACCAGAGGACGTCAAAAGGTGAACCAGCACCAAGACAATGCACTATCGATCAATGCAGAGATGATTCATTGCAAAAGGTTTCTGACACAAATAGTTTCTAACACAAACTGTTTTATTGCCAGAAAGGGTTACACCTGCTTTTATATTTTGATACTGGCAAGGGAGGTCCCAAAACGTCCTTGAGTTTAACACGTAGGCTTTTCGCAGATTGTAAATGTTGTGGATTTACCCTCCAACACACTGGTGTGCTGTACTCATAACGAATTGGCATGTGCCGTTTAACGTGACAAACCTTACAAGTTGGCGGTGTCGGGCGGTGGCGGGTTTTACGACACATTTATCCATATTGGTCGCGAAAGCCAACGTGGTAAACTCACACACTTATATTTACGCGATTTAACCCCCCCCAAAAAAAGTATTATGAACAAACGTATGCCATTTGGAGTCCTCTGGTCTCACACCATTTGAGACGAGGCTCAAAAGAAAGCTGTCTCTGGTGTGGACCAATCAGTATCAAGGACAATGCCAATATATTATCAGAGTATGGTTTGTGTTCGCATTCTGACCACAAGCACTGTGGTTAACGCAGACATGATTCCTTGTAAGAGGATTTAAGTTTGGTGTTTTAACATCTTAACACGACTGTTTTGTTGCCAGAAAAAAGGGGGGAAAACTCCTATTATCATGAACAAACGTACTATTTGTATTTTTTAAATTTGTAATGCATTGGTAGCAAAAGTTAAATTTCCCCGAGAGCCTCAGAGCTGGGCCCACACGAACCGGTCCAGTCAAAGTTGTTGTGGTGGCAGCGCAGCAGCCCCGACAAGGGCCCAGGAGCAGCACAACGTCTTCGCGGCGACGGCGACGATGACGATGATGGCGAGTGCATAAATGAACAGAATTGTTACAAAACGATAACGGTCATACAGTATGTAAATATATTTACAGTAGAGAGATATATACATTTGGGCAGGATGAGGTAAGATCAGGGGGGGGGGGATGGGGGGGGGTATGTAAAAGCCCTTCCTTGTCCTGGTGCTAACAGCAGTGGCGTCTCCAGCCACGGCGCGGTCGAGGTGGTGACGGCTCAACTCCTCCTCTGCGGGGGGTCACAGCTGCTGGGGCGTCTGCAGGGCCCCGGACAAGCCGCGTGCGAGTCCCGGGGACAGAGAGCACTCTCCCCCACCCCCTCGCCGCACCTCCCTATGTAGTGGGCCTCATAGCCCGCCTGGCTATATATATGCACATTTATATTTTTTATTTTAAAACGTTGTGAATGTATAGCAGCAGCAAGTTAACTGTAGAACGAGTGTAGCTTCAAGATTGTCGAACGGAGTTGTGCTTCCAACACGCTTTGACCCGTAATGCTCCAGAGCAGCGAATGAGGTGTTTCAGAAGTTCAGTTGATGTCTCCCCCGAGCAAAGCCCGGAAAGCGAAAAAGTTATTTTTCAAGTGCGACTTGGCCGGCAGACAACACCCAAGCATCGTGTCCGGTATTGCTTTTCTTTACGTTGAACGCGACACTCCGTAGTTTAGAAGGGAGCGCTCTCCTCAACAACAACATCTTAGTACGCCCAAGATGTTGTTGTTGAGACACACGTAGCGGAGCTCTGCACTCACTGGCCGTGTCATCTGAGACACAGCCAGTGCTAGGTGGCTTGTCCACGTTACCACGTCCGAGGATGAGATCGGGACCGACTCTCGACACGTAACAGAAACGAGGTTAATGTAAAGGCCGGTCGACCAACACTTCCGAGCTGTAGGGTCCCGACTGTCATTTGTGGGGCGGGCGGAGATGGTGGGGTTTAGTCCACAAGTTATCTCTCTCTCGACCACGGCTGTACCGCATTTCATGGTCACGGCCCCACCATCTCTTGCCACTCTTGTATCCTTCTATGCCCCTTCTACATTCTTAGTCGTTGTCGTCTCTCTCTGTTCCTCCTCCTCCTCCTTGTGCTCAATCCACTCTCTCGCTCTTCTCGACCCCTTCACTGGAACAAACTCCCCCCGCCCCCCCTCCACGTGAAGCAGTCACCTTCGCTCACGAATTTTCGCTCCTCCCCCAAAATATTCACTTCTTGTTGCCAAGCTCATACCACGACCCCCTAAATCCCGACTCTCCCCCCCCACCCCTTCTAATCACTGCCATTCCTCATTCCTTCCTCATTCTCTCTCCCCATGGCTACCACTCATTCCCCATCCATCCAATTCATTCATCGTCAACGTTATTTGCTGTCGTTAAGTTTTCTTTTACTTAATGTACACATCGCAGGTTGGCCCGTCACGTCCCCTCATCGACTGTGTTGACCTAATCTTCACCATCACATTCACATGCACCATTGTTAATTATGCATCTGTACAGCGCCTTGGTCAAGTCTCTAGATACATCAAGATAAGATAACATGAAGGCCGGCACGGCACACGAGGGGGCGAGTTGCCAGCACCACGCCGGGCCGCCTTTGTCTCCCTCGTGGCGATGTTTTACACACCGCACCAGGTACAGGGGAGTCCCAGAACTGGTTCAGACAATCGTCACCGGTGTTGGGCGTGAGCAGGAATCGAACTCCCGTCGCCGGGTTCGTAGGGCAGCGCGCTAACCGCTACACTACCTCCCCCCTCTCGATGTACAATACAAACACGCTCACCATAGAGACCCATAGACACACAGATCTATAGGTTCGAATACAGACCCATAGACTCACATAGAGACCCATAGACTCACACAGAGATGTCTAAGGAGGCACCATAAGCCCCAGCAGAGCACATGCAGTCTATGTTTTGTTGTGCATTGAACTAGGGGGGGGGGGGGCGGGTGGGGGGCGATAAAAAGTTATTTTATGGAGGACAGCCCAGAGTAAGTAGACAGAGTGACGAGTGTGGGGGGCATGACAGGGGGAGATGTGCGGAGAGAGACACAGACAGGCAAGGTGATAAACACAGGGATGGAGGGATGGAGGGACGTATAGGGACAAGGAGACACAGACAAGGAGACAGAGGAGCCAAGGAGACAACCGCAGAGCATAGCGATACTGACGCAGCAAGAGACGGGGAGGGAGAGAGTGAGAGACACAATGCTGCACACACGTGCACACTCGTTATGTAATTATTCGCTTTAGGTGGGGGGGGGTGGGCTGGACTACGACGGGCCTAGGCCTAGGCGCAAGGCTCCTCCTCCCCCAGACGTCACTGACGGTGGGTGGGGAGGGCAGTCAACCCACGCTGCGAGCCGGCCGCACGACGCTCGGCCGTGCTGATGACTCCGCGGCCGGGCGATCCCTCCCACCGTCGCCGTGGCAACTACCCGTGCTGCCAGAGCAACGCCGTCTCAGTGCCCACCGTCTCCAGGTTCAGGTATCCGCCGCCGACGCCGCCGCCGACGTTGAGCGCCGCCATCTCGGAGAGGACGCACAGCGGCACCGGGGAGCCCTCCTCCGCCTCGTCACCGGCGGCCGCCGGCGGCGCCGCAGGCTTCCCGCTCGCCTGGAAGCCGGCCCAGGCCTGCACGCACGCACAGACGCACGTACAGACACACAGACGCACGTACAGACACACAGACGCACGTACAGACACACGTACAGACACACAGACGCACGTACAGACACACAGACGCACGTACAGACACACAGACGCACGTACAGACACACAGACGCACGTACAGACACACAGACGCACGTACAGACGCACGTACAGACACACGTACAGACACACGTACAGACACACGGACACGTGGAAGCATGAGGTGTACGCACGGCGGCGGCGAGTGGAGAAGGAACCGCGCGACTCGATGCGGTTCACAAATGAAAAACGTTTTTTTGGGGTCAGATCGCGGCACGGGTTAAATGTTGCGTCGTACACCCTCCACCGCTCCACCGCAGAGTAATGAAGTTGCCACGTGAGCACCGCCGGGCGGCGGTGTTGGCGGCTACGCCGCTGCACGCGGCTGCCTGTGATCGTGCGCTGGAGGCAGCTGATAGGGGTTGGTGGATCATCGCACAGGTGGTTGTGCGTTGACCCAACGCTGGCGTGTGGTTTCCCGGGCAGATAATCGACGCGACGTCGCGCTCTTTCCCTTCAGGGTGCACGCCGCCGTGACCCTGGCCGGCCCCTTCACCTGGAAGTCGCCGTTGTGGTCGTCGAAGAGGCTCTTGAAGTAGCGTGAGGGGTCCGGCACCCAGGGGACGAGGCAGCGCCTGAGCCTGCGGGGAGGTGGGGGGGGGGGGTGACGCAGCGTTGAGCTGTGAGTGTGTGTACGTGTGTGTGTGTTAGTGTGTGTGTGTGTCGCGGTGCCGGACGGGCAACTCTGTCGTGGACAGCGCTGTGGGGGGAGATCCAATTTTGATTGGCTCCTCCCCTCATGGCATATGTGTCCACCACAGGGGCTAAACGGGGCTCTGGACGGGTGCGAGAGGGCTGGTAACCCCTTCACCTTCAATTAATTACCACGAAACCACGAATTAAACTGAAATATGTAACAAATAAGCTTGTGCCGGAGGCCCCGGGGGGCCAGGCGTCTATGACGTCTCCTGGCCAAAACCCAATTGGCGGAGCCAGGAGATTGAATACCTACCCTCGGGGCTACTCCAGAAACAACGAAAAGCCACTACGGGTGGCCACGTGGAATGTTCGAACACTCACTGCAGAGGAGAGGCTGCCACTCCTCTGTCGGGAGCTGGACCGGTACCGCCTGGATCTATGCGGCATTCAGGAGGTCCGGTGGACCGGCTCTGGCTCCTGCCACCATGAGGGGTGGACAGTCCTCTACTCGGGGCAGCAGACTGCCAAACAACAGGGTGTGGGTCTTCTTTTGAACAAAAGAATGAAGGGGGCGTGGGAGCGTGGCGGTGAGGTGTGGGAAGCTGTAAGCCCCAGGCTACTTTGGGCTCGCCTTCCCATCAACCGGAGGCGAGGAATGGTGGTCGTGGTTACTTATGCCCCCACCGAAGATGAACATCCGTGGAGGGATGCAGGCAAAGCCGATGAGTCAGATGCCTTCTATGACCTTCTGTCACAGGTGCTGGCTAAAGTGGCCCCTCGGGATAGAGTCATCATGTTGGGTGACTTCAATGCCCGAGTTGGTCATGATACTGGCACCTGGTCTGGAGTGATTGGAGGGCATGGGCCAGATCAGCTCAATAACAACGGTAGGAGGCTGCTAGATTTTTGTGCAGCCCATGGGCTTGTAATTACCAACACGCTGTTCCGGCATCGGCGCATCCACACAACATCATGGATGCATGCCGGGTCCAAGCAAGAACATCTGCTGGACTACATAGTGACGGACCAGCGAATGCGAGCCCATGTCCTTGACACCAGGATCTACCGTGGAGCTGATCTGCCCTCTGACCATCGACTAGTCATCTGTAAGATGCGCCTGCCATTCTTCCACTCCGGTGGTGGGTGTACACCCAGGACCCCATTCCAACATAAAGTGGCCTGATCTCAGTTATCTGATGAAAGTTGCAAGCGAGAATTTCATCATCGCTTGCGGCTGGGATTGGCATCGTCCCCGACTCCTCCTGATGTCGAGGGTAAATGGGCGAGGTTTAGGACTGTGACTCATGCAGCTGCAATGGCTGCTTTGGGTACGCGGTCCAGACCTCCCCAGAGACCCTGGCTGACAGAGGAGGTGTTCAGGATGGTTGAGAAAAAGCGACAGGCCCACTGTCATCGGCTACAGAATCCCACGTTAGAGAATGAGGAGGCTTACCGCAGCCTTCGCTCGGAGGTTCGGAGAGCCGTGAGGCGCTGCAAGGATGGGTGGTGGTCGCGGGTTGCTGAGGAGATGGAGTCTGCCTCAGTGGCCCGTGATCACAAATCTCTATTTAACTCCATCAAAAAAGTAACCTGCAGCGCCACACCTATTACCATCATTAGGGGAAAAAACGGTGATCCAATCTCCGACCCCCAGGAACAGGTTCGCAGATTTGCTGAGCATTTCTGTGAGGTCCTGAGGGAGGGAAAATCCCTCAGCCAGGAAAACATCGTGGCACAAAGTGAGGATGACCCTGCTGAGGCTGCGGTGCCTCAAATATTGGAAGAAGTCACGCCCTGTGAGTGGCTGGCTGAGGTGCCATCTGCTGAGGAAGTATTGAAGGCGATCCGGAGTCTGAGACCAGGAAAGGCAGCGGGCAGAGATGATCTCCCAAGCGAAATGCTGAGGGAGGGTGGCGTTTGTGCACAGACTGCCCTATATGACATCATAACAACAGTCTGGACCACTGGACGGGTTCCGCAGGATTGGAAGGATGCCCTGGTGGTCCCCCTTTTTAAGAAGGGGGACCGCACAGACTGTAACAACTACAGGGGCATCTCACTCCTCAGTGTGCCGGGAAAGGTCCTGGCAAGGATTATTCAGCATCGCCTTGCCAGGTACGCTGAGGAGAGGCTTGCGAAGCCCCAATGCGGTTTCAGGAAAGGGCGGTCCTGCACAGATGCCATATTTTCTGTCCGTCTGCTACAGCAGAGGTGTAGGGAATTCCAACAAGACCTACATCTCTGCTTTATTGACCTGGTCAAGGCCTATGATACCATCAGTAGGCCTGGGCTCTGGGTCGTTCTTCGTGTTTTTGGAGTACCTGACCCTCTGCTCACGATCATTAAGGACCTTCATGATGGTGAGCGGGCCCGGGTAAAACTACGTGGCCGGGAGTCAGAGCCATTCCCTGTACACCTTGGGGTGCGACAGGGATGTCCTCTGGCTCCCACATTATTTAACATCTATTTTGACCACGTAGTTCGTGAAGCCTTCAATAGCTGTACCGGGGGAATCTCCATATGGTACAGATATAATGGGAGGCTAATCGATGCCCGGATGCGGTCAAGGGATGGCTCCCTATTGCTCAACCACGTTATGTATGCTGATGATTTGGTAATAGCTGCTCAGTCAGAGGAGGAGTTGGAGACGCTGCTGCTGAGACTGGAGCGTGCCACTAAGAGGTGGGGCCTTACCATCAGCCCCACCAAAACTAAGCACCTGCCTGGGTATTTTGTACCATCGGACACTCCACCCCCACAACTCCCAATCGGTGATGGGGCAGTTGTGGAGAGAGTGGAGAGTTTCCCATACCTGGGCAGTGTGCTTATGACAGGCTCCAGTTTAACAGCAGAGGTCTCACTACGAATTAGTCGAGCGGCAATATCTTTTCATCGGTTGCGTAACGCTGTGTGGAAGCTACCTGGTCTGTCGCTCCGCACTAAGCTTCAGGTCTTCTCAGCCACGGTCATTCCCTCCCTTCTCTACGCTTGCGAAACGTGGACCCCCCTAATGGAACATCTTCGCCGGTTAGAAACATTTAGGCTGGCCTGCCTATGATCCATCCTGGGTTTAACCAGACTGGATTGTGTGAGGAGCTCACAAATCCTTGAAAGATCTGGGCAGGGTCCCATCGGTGAGCTCCTCCGGCAGGCAAGGCTGCGATGGCTGGGTCATGTAGCCCGCATGCCCAGCCACCGCATGCCGAAACAGCTTTTGTTTGGCCGGATTGAGGGGGCTAAGCGGGCGCGGCACGGGCTAGAGAAGAGATGGAGTGATGTGGTACAGGAGGACGTGGAGCTGAGTGGACTTGCCGATGACTGGTACCAGCGGTGTCAAGATCGGCCTCTGTGGAGGAGGCTCGTGAAGGATGCTACTGGGCAGTTGGAGGCAGTCGCCCTCCAACAACAACGGAGGACGGAGGAGCGACGCTCAGAACAACGAGCGGAGCGCCGGGTGGCTAAAGCACAGCAGGTTGGCACAGTAGGGGGCACAGGTGGTGCATCAGCCAGTCATCTCAGTCAGTCGACCCGTGGCACCTGGGTCTGCCCCGTGACCTCCTGCCAGCGGGCGTTCGACACTTCACGTGGCCTCAGGGTGCACATAGCCTGGCACAAGCGTCGTGGTGACGTCACCGCCACTTAGTGGTGAATGGCGGTTGTTGTTGTTGTGTTAGTGTGTGTTAGTGTGTGTGTGTTAGTGTGTGTTAGTGTGTGTGTGTTAGTGTGTGTGTGTTAGTGTGTTAGTGTGTGTGTTAGTGTGTGTGTGTTAGTGTGTGTGTTAGTGTGTTAGTGTGTGTGTGTGTTAGTGTGTGTTAGTGTGTGTGTTAGTGTGTGTGTGTTAGTGTGTGTGTTAGTGTGTGTTAGTGTGTGTGTGTTAGTGTGTGTGTGTTAGTGTGTGTGTGTTAGTGTGTGTGTGTTAGTGTGTGTGTGTTAGTGTGTGTGTGTGTGTTAGTGTGTGTGTGTGTGTTAGTGTGTGTGTGTTAGTGTGTGTGTGTGTTAGTGTGTGTGTGTGTTAGTGTGTGTGTGTTAGTGTGTGTGTGTTAGTGTGTTAGTGTGTGTGTGTGTGTGTTAGTGTGTTAGTGTGTGTGTTAGTGTGTGTGTGTGTTAGTGTGTGTGTTAGTGTGTGTGTGTTAGTGTGTGTGTGTGTTAGTGTGTGTGTGTTAGTGTGTGTTAGTGTGTGTGTGTGTGTGTTAGTGTGTTAGTGTGTGTGTTAGTGTGTGTGTGTTAGTGTGTGTGTTAGTGTGTGTGTTAGTGTGTGTGTGTTAGTGTGTGTGTGTTAGTGTGTGTGTGTGTGTTAGTGTGTGTGTGTTAGTGTGTGTGTTAGTGTGTGTGTTAGTGTGTGTGTGTGTGTTAGTGTGTGTGTTAGTGTGTGTGTTAGTGTGTTAGTGTGTGTGTTAGTGTGTGTGTGTGTTAGTGTGTGTGTTAGTGTGTGTGTGTGTGTTAGTGTGTATGTGTGTTAGTGTGTTAGTGTGTGTGTTAGTGTGTGTGTGTGTGTGTTAGTGTGTATGTGTGTTAGTGTGTTAGTGTGTGTGTGTGTTAGTGTGTGTGTGTGTGTTAGTGTGTGTGTGTGTTAGTGTTAGTGTGTGTGTTAGTGTGTGTGTGTGTGTGTTAGTGTTAGTGTGTGTGTGTTAGTGTGTGTGTGTGTGTTAGTTAGTGTGTGTGTGTGTGTGTTAGTGTGTGTGTGTTAGTGTGTGTGTTAGTGTGTGTGTGTGTGTTAGTGTGTGTGTTAGTGTGTGTGTTAGTGTGTGTGTGTTAGTGTGTGTGTGTTAGTGTGTGTGTGTTTTTTGTGTTAGTGTGTGTGTGTTAGTGTGTGTTAGTGTGTGTGTGTTAGTGTGTGTGTGTTAGTATGTGTTAGTGTGTGTGTTAGTGTGTGTGTGTGTGTGTTAGTGTGTGTGTGTTAGTGTGTGTTAGTGTGTGTGTGTGTTAGTGTGTATGTGTTAGT